GCTTCTCTTCTTGGGTGTGGGGGGGGGGTGGTGGAAACACTCCAGGCTTGAGTTTTTGGGGTTTTTTTGGCGAGCCATCTCCATGCCCTTTCCTCACCAGCCTCTCCTCTCTTTTCCCTGCAGGCACTTGAACGCCGTGGAGCTGAGAGCCGCGTCCTTCTGGCTGCGGGTGGCCTTGGGGACAGCAGTGACAGCTCTGGTAGGGTTCACCCTCTACCGCCTGCTCAACAAGAACAAATGAGGGGACTCACCCCCCCGGGACCCCCCCAACGCTGTGACACCAGCCTCCCCCTCCCCAGTGACACCCCGCGGAGGGGCCCTGCCTCAAACTGGTCCCTGGTGGGGAAATCCTCCCCTTTTTTCCCCCCCCTCCCTGGATTGTCAGGACCAGTGAAACCAGACTTCCCAGCACCAGCAGGATAGATCCCCCAGCACCGGCTCAAACAGCTGGAGGATCATCCCCATCTTTTATTCTCCTTGTTTATTTTTTTTTTTTTTTTAACATTTGTTTTTAAGCTCAAACGTGAGTGTTTCAGTGTCTGTTGGGCCGGGCGCATCCCTTCCCCAGGGGGCTGTGCTGGTGCCCTCAATTTTGGGGGAGGGGGGGGGAGGACACACAACATTTCCAGTGTCCCTGGGGAGCTCCAGCAGCGGCAGAGCTGTAGGACGGGCTGGTGGCTTCGGTCCCCTGTGTCACACGTCCCATCTCCTGTCCCTGTTTCCCTCAGCTGACACCCCCACCTCCCCCCTCATTGTGTTTTGGGGTCCCTCCTGCTGGGATGCAGCCACCCAGGGGAGGGAGTGAAGGGATTCTCTCTTGTTTCTACCCAAAAATACCGGCCAGCCTGTGAGGTGCCAGCCTCTCGCCCCCCCTGCCCTCCTGGGTGGCCTGTCCCCTCCCCACTTGGCCACCAGTATTCATGGCCACCAGTATTTTTGGGAGCCCTGGGGGGGTGGCTGTGGGGGTGCAGGGCTGCCATCCTTCCTGGCCGTGCCATGTGGCCCGTGTCCTGTTGTCCCCCTGTCCCCTTGGGGGGCTGTCCCCCTGTCCCCTCGGGGGGCTGTCCCAAACCCCCAGGACATCTCCTGTAGCTACAACTGGAAGCTCTTTCCTCGCTGGGCGGCTGATGTGTCCTCAGCCCAGCTCCATCTGGGGCCAGAGAGACCCACAGCATCCCCATCCGTGGGTCCCAAAGAGGGGTGACAACCTCTGCT